ACAATAGAAAGACTTTGCATTCTGATTCTGTTGTGCAGTTAAGACAAATGATCTGCTTATTACTATTTCACGGTTGGTAATGGAGGAACAAGCAATTTACAAGGAGAATGAAAATTGCATGATAGTGTCATTTTTGCACAGATCCTGGGGCAACACAAGGGAGCCTTAAAACAAACCAAGAGGACCACTTCGTGATTCCTGCTTGGTTGTGGCCATGTCATCTCTACCCACCTGGATGATTCATGGCAGCCAGAAATGTCTCTTGAGACTGTTGGCAGCTATTGCAATGTAGAACATCCACTGTAAACTGGAGGACCAGGCTGATGCCTGGCATCCATAGAATAATGGGGAAAGTAAAGTGGTTTAAGTCATCCCTTAAGCTGTTCCAGGGACACACAGCAGTTTTAGCCCAAATGGTCAAACCTGTATGACTAAAATTAGGCATCAGCCTCCATATTTAGGCACCCAGATGCATAGCCTGATTTTCACAGTTGCGGAGCACCTACAGTTGTCATTAACTTTAACAGGAGATGAATTTTGCATATCCAGATTTGAAATGTGTGGCCCTTTTGTTTCGTAGAAGTGTTTTGTAAATACATATGTCTTTAAATAAATAAAACACCCAACAAACCAACCAAAGTTATACATGAAGGCACGCCAGAGCTGGGTTGTGTGGATAAAACAGTGATATTTACCTGCGCAGTAATTGAGGCCTTACAGACTGAAAAAGGCTTCTTGAACCAAAATGATAGAATTTGGGGGGGAGTGGGGAAATGAACAGGGGATCAGAACATGACTTTTTTTTTTTATTTTACACAGTGCGTTTTGAATCATTGAAAATTCAGAATTCTTGCTTTGTAACTATGACAGAAGGGGAAAAATAATCCAGAGCTAGAATATAAATATTAGGCTCTCATAGCTTGGGTTGATTGTGTTGTAGAGATGATTCCCTCCGTTTTGGGGAGAGGATGAATCGTGTATCTGTTGGAAGACCCTTCCTCCTCCCCGGCACTCCTTAGAGGCTAGTGGAGAGAGGGATTGCAGTCATAGAGGAGACTAATTCGAGTGTTAGGCTGGTTTTCATAACATTGCCTTACTCACAGGTAGAATAGATGCAAATGGAAAACTAAAATGAAGGAATGAGTTGAAACCCAACAGTATCTCTTCATATGTGTGGATGTCAGGTCAATTCCTTATGGAAAAAATAAGTCTATTTAGTAATCAATGTTCTGGTCACAGTCGGATGACAGAGAGCCTCTGCTGAATATCTTGATAGCTTGGTTCTCAAACTACATTAAAAATAAATAAAAATCCTCCCTTCTAATTTGTGAGGAGAGGAAAATGCAGTGAATGTCCTGAAAAAAAGTTTTGTAATATATCTGTCTAGATAATTGACAGTCAACTGTGGAGGTTCCTTGTTCTGGGAATACAATATTTCTATGTCCAATCATACATATGCTACAATAATAAGTATAACTTATTGGCATATTATTATTGCACTATTTGAATATCTCATTTCAGGAAACAGTGCTCAGAAAAATAATGCAGTACTTTGTGATGGAAAGAGCTGATGTTACTGTGCTCTTGTAGTTTGTATCTATGACCAGGAAGACAGTATAATTGGAGCTATCTATCTGAAGACAAAATCTTCATTATCATCTTCCTGTCTTCAGTCATTACATTCAAATATTTGATTATACATGCATACCTTTTCTCCAGAATTTTCTCACAGCAAGTCCTGTGCATTGTCTGAAATATATTAAAAATAGAACATCTGAAATGTACATTTGCACATCAGCACCTGATTTCACTTTGATTTATGAAAAGAGAGGTTACCTCAGAGCATAGTGCACCCAGTTTGGTTGGTGTCATAGAATAAGTTTGGAGCTTGCTTTCCCCCCCAGATTATTCTAATACCTGAAATGGTGCTTATGTACTTTTTGCCATTTATGCCCACTGTATATTGTACAGACATGATGGGGCAAGAAGTAAATTTATCTTCACTTCACTGATGATACAAGCAACTGAATTACAGTTGACAGAAGACACGGATACTAGTACAGAAGGGCAGTAAGGGCCTCATACTGTTCTCATTAAAGTCAATGACAACAGGCTTCTTGACTTCAATGGGAGAAGAAGCAGGCCTAATGTATTGCCACTTGTTCTGTGTCATTGGATATAGGGTGTGGGAAACATGTAGAACCCTATTATACATATTTTAAGATTTTATATTGCCACCCATCAGTGTAGTATCTCAACACAATTCTGTGCTGAACCTGTACCTTACATTAGTGTTAGAATATTTTAGTGGTAATTTGTTTCAGCCTGATTACTGAGATATTTCTCATTTCTCCGGGTGTCCTTGAAAGCAGGACTGGAATTTAGAATTTCTGGTTAATGAGAAGTCATAGGACCTGTTGATCTTACATCATTTTCCATCCTTCAGTTCATTTATTTGTCTAGTTTTGAAGTCAAAATTGTATAGAATATATATATACTGACATTATCCGATTAAAAACTAATCCTTCCAAGACTAATTATAAGGTATGTGTTTCCTGATGATCTCTCTTCCACAAATTATTCTCTCTAATTAGTTTTCATGGATGACAAGGGAAAAATGTATTCTGAACCCTCCAAGAGCTGTTTTAGCATTGAATGGCTATTCAGTGGATTGGATATCTTGACTTTATTGTACTATAGGTAAAATGCTAACAAAATCCAGGTCAACAAACAAAAGTTTAAAGGCATTTTTTTTTAAGAAAATGTGTTTGATATGTAAATGTTAGTTTCTGGAGTTTTCAGTTCATCGTTTCTCTTTTAAGCTCCCTCTTTATTACCATCTTGTCCTAATGGTACCTAATAGGCTTGAACCAAAAATAAAATTACAGGTCAATCAACATGGATGGGAAACTCAAATGTTTATAAGCCTTGGGCCTACAAAGAAAGAATGAGGCTTAGAATAAAATTACTTCATTATATCTCTTTTTTATCATTTGAAATGATTAAGCAAGTTGCTGAATTGAGTCCATAATCTTGAAATTCTTAACTTCAGCGGAGTTTGTGGTCAACGGAGAACTTGCTGTTGGTCCACAAAGAGCTGTCTGATTACCTGGAGTTAGTTCCTGCTCAGGTCCAGGACCTAGAGCAAATCACAAAATAGCTACAAATTCATTAAATACATTCCTAATATTTTGCCATATAAGAGATTGCTGTAATTGCCAGAGAGATGTTTTGAAATTGAAAGAGGGAGGCAGTGATCTATCAGTGAAAATAAACTCTTTGACTTAAAGAAAAAGGGCTTGATTCTCTCCTCTGGCCAAGCAGAGCTTGGAGGGAGGAGACTGACAGGGAGCTGTTTTTGGTTCCCTGATCCTCACCCAACAGCCACCACATAAGTTAAAGCTGCACAGGGGCACCTCTAAGTTATCCTGCTGACAGGATATCCTTGCCAGCAGAGAATTGGGCTTGGTAGAAAATAGATCTTCTATTCTCCCTGTTCTGTCCTCTTCCAATACACCCTCTTCCTTTCCTTATTCTGGGGGGTGGCATTCCAGCACAGGTAGTGTGGAAGTCAGGCAGCAGAGCAAAGTGAACTTGATGGCAGAAAATTCAGGTCAAAGTCCTTGAGTTTTCTCTCTTTGGTACAGTACAAGCAAAGAACACATGTGATTTTAAATCTGCTTGGCCGCAGAGGAATTGGGATTTTTGCTTACCTATCAAAGATGTCTAACTATGACTTCTCTAATAATATAATAGATGCTTTTAGTTCATCTTGAGTAGGAATCTTGTGGAAATTAAGATTCATACCAACCATCTTAAGCCCATTCCAGTAGAGTAATAAAATTAGTATCATGAATGGAGATATTAAATTACATCTTCTGCTTTATTGGTTCTTGAAACTGCTTGTTATTATGAATGTTGGTGAGGTGTTCAGTGCAAATTACTGTTGTTTTAGTAATAACTGCATTATGTCAAAAATGCAAACTATGCAATTATCAGGACACAATAATTAGTTGGAATTTTTGGAAATGTAATTTTAGATATGGACTGTATATGGAGAACTCTATCACAATGTATCATTTTAAGCTGATGATATTCCTGTCCAGAAAATATATTGTAGTTTGTTTAGACCAGGGGTCGGCAAGGTTCGGCACGCGGCTCGCCAGGGTAAGCACCCTAGTGGGCCGGGCCAGTTTATTTACCTGCTGACGTGGCAGGTTCGGCCGATCGCGGCCCCCACTTGCCGCGGTTCGCCGTCTCGGGCCAATGGGGGCGGCGGGTAGCCGCGGCCAGCACATCCCTCGGCCCGCATCGCTTCCCGACGCCCCCATTGGCCCGGGACGGCGAACCGCGGTGAGTGGGGGCCACGATCGGCTGAACCTGCCGCGTCAGCAGGTAAATAAACTAGCCCGGCTCACTAGGGTGCTTACCCTGGCGAGCCGCGTGCCGAACGTTGCCGACCCCTGGTTTAGAAGAATTAAATATGTTTAATCAAGAAGAACATTATGGGTTGACACCTAATTTGAAAGTGCCGTCTCACATCAGTGCATGGTTGTCTGTCAGCTGCACGATTGTGTCAAAGAGGGAAGAGAAAAGAGAGACATTTTCATTTCAGGTAGTTTAATTAACACTAATCAGTCTCTTTGCAGTGATATGCACCCAGTTGCTATCGTCCGTCAGCTACTTTTAAATCTTATTTAATAAAGCACATCAGGAGAAAAACATGCTTATATTCATTTTGTTGTTAGTTTAGTTCAAAAGAAACCATACACAAGTGGTTTGATAACATTAAAATGAAATAATCATGGTTAATGTTGTCTGAAGGAAATACAACAATGCAAATATAGTGTTATCTGATATTATAGGCTGACTTCATTTTGTATTTGTAAATTGAATGCTTAATAAGGATTGCTCTGCTCAAAGTTTCCACAGAAGCAATTGAAACTTTATATTTTTTTCAATTAGTTTACCTTACATGTATTTTTTTACATTTCCTTTAGTTCCTCCAGCAATTACTTTGCTACAGAAGTCCTTTAATGCTACAGCAGATCGGGGAGAGGCAATTACTTTATTCTGTAGAGCCACTGGCTCTCCTGAACCTGAAATCAGTTGGCATAGGTAAGTTCAGTTTAGATCTGTATATCAGAAAGATTTGAAATGTGTTACAAGTTTGTATCATACTGAAATAAACTATCTCCATTGTGTTTATGGCTGTTTATAGGGAATTGCTAAACAAATTAAATAACACACATTTGATCAAACTATGTTTATCATCAAGAAAGAGAAATTGGAAAATATCTAACATATTTTAACATGCCTCACATTAAAGGAGAAACAAATAAAGCTGAAGAAGCTATGACTTTAAAAAAGGCAACAGATGTATTTCTCAATTTCTCCATGAAATGTTCACACTCCAATCCCATATACAACTACCTAAAATAACACAGAATACAGATTAATGCTATAAATACAGGTCTAACACACAGAGTAACAGTATCATATTATACATCAATACAATGTAAAAAAATATCTATCTTAAGCTGATTTTAGTCATCTGATATTTCAGTGCAGCCAGATATTCAGTAACAGGTATGGCTTCTGTTTATTGTGTTAGTTTGTCTGGATATTTGATTCCATTAATTGCAGACAGGTTGTGGATACTCTTGCAAATCTGATTCTCTTAAAAACAGAAAACTGTTTGGGGGATATGGGGTATATCTTCCAGGTGAAGTCAGTGAGATTTATATGGTTAAAACTGTGCAATTTTGAAAATTTGCCACATAACGTCTTTAAGGATCTCAGCTTTTCATTGGTTTCTCAGCTTTTCCATGCATACTTATGGAACGGACTTATATGCCTTTTGTTTCAACACCTGATCTATTCACGAAGGATGCAGTCCAATATCAGGGTGTGAAATAGCTCAGATTCCTTATATGGACATGTATTTCTATTTGGGACTTGAATGAATTGTCCCCCTATGTGCTCTTTCAAAGGGATCAAAAGATTAGTGAACATCTTTCAGCGTGCACTGGACTCCGTAGTGATTCTCCTCAGCTATCTTCTCTCATTGTTACTCAGCATATGAAACTTAAGAGAGTCTGTTAGATTCATCTTAGGTAGATCTTGGTTTCCCTTGACTGATACCTGCTTTATGACACATATTGTGTCAAATGGTATGCTGACTTTGTCTGACATGAATTCATTTGGATTGCAGAAGATGCAAATAAGTGCCATTTTTGCCCCACTCACTAATATAGATGAGAATTCAGTTTCTATCAGATGAAACAAAAATAAAATAAATCATGCAAAGCCCAAATTATTTGAAGTAGTAATTTGAAATTCACAAACAAAAGTTTCACACTTTGGGAACTTGGTATCCCTTTGAGGTCATGTTATAAACTGTAGCTCCCAGCTAGGCAGAAGTCTCTTGAGTTTATCAGAAAACTGATAACCTCATTTGCCTCACTGCAAGAAGACAATTGAACGTGGTGTTTTACATGTTCAAGATGAAAAGAATGGACACAGTCATCTTGTGTCTTGGGGAGCTGTATGTCTAGAATTGTCAGTCTTTAGTGCCATATCTTTAGTGTACTTTAATTTGAAAGTATCACAGTAAAATATACAAACAAATGAAACACCTTACAGAAGGCCCTATACAAATAGTCTGTGGATCAGATACTAGTGAAACAGATCTTCCTTCAGTAGCAATAATGACTCTTCACTAAGAAAAATGGTTGTTCTAGACCAGGGGTCGGCAACGTTTGGCACGCGGCTCGCCAGGGTAAGCACCCTGGCGGGTCGGGCCAGCTTATTTACCTGCTGACGCGGCAGGTTCGGCCGATCGCGGCCCCCACTGGTCGCGGTTCGCCGTCCCGGGCCAATGGGGGCGGCGAGAAGCGGTGCAGGCGAGC